TCGCGGGCTCTGACCGGACACACCCGCCCGGCTCCGCTCCGCGATAACAATGGGGCTGCCGGCGCAGCGCCGCCCTTTATATAGCCAGGAGCACGTGACCGCCCCTCAGCCCGGGCGCGGGGCAGCCTGGGAAATGAAGCCCTGGGCACGCGGCCCTGCTCCCGCAATGGCCGCCGGGAAACGGAGTCTCCCAGGAGGGGCTTGCTGGGAGCTGTAGTCCAAGGCATAGCCCTTCCCCCATAGAGATGGATGGGATGGGCAAGACAAGATGTATCTTTATATAGCCAGGAGCACGTGACCGCCCCTCAGCCCGGGCGCGGGGCAGCCTGGGAAATGAAGCCCTGGGCACGCGGCCCTGCTCCCGCAATGGCCGCCGGGAAACGGAGTCTCCCAGGAGGGGCTTGCTGGGAGCTGTAGTCCAAGGCATAGCCCTTCCCCCATAGAGATGGATGGGATGGGCAAGACAAGATGTATTGCGAGAGCACAGAGCGTAAAACAACGTGGGACCGTTTAACATTAATTACCATCATGAATATGCAAATGTTTCAGTGCCCAGCAACCAGAAGTTTCTGAATGAGTTTGCTGGGCTGCCATATAATAAAGGTTGGAAGCTGCTGGACTAGGAGACAGGCAGCTTCCCCACGGCAAGGGAAAAGCAGGGCTCAGGGGAGGACGGTATAGCATTGCGCCTTCTGATTAAAAACTAACTAGGCTTGCAGGAGGAGAGCTGAAGAACTGCATTGTGCAAAAATGCTCCCTCTAATTTCTTCCATCTCCGTACAGATCAATTTTGTTATGTGCAACCCAGGCACGTGCAGGTGCTACCCCTAGGAACACATGCTGCTGACTCTGGGTGGTGTGGGTACTTTGCTAATCAGCTGGACAGCAGCTGAATCGCTCCCACCCCCCACATACACAGTTTACAGTGAACACTAAGCCCCCATCACAGCTTTTTGCTATGGCACAGAGATGCCTCTAGACTAGAGTGACAAAGTCCAGCTTTGCCCAGCGGTGCCACTGCCAGGAGCTTTTTCATTTTATCAAAAAGCAAAAGCAAAAAAAGCTTTTTTAAATGTAAACTATCATATTCACATCCCAGAGCTTTAAGGCACCTGGTACTGACTGCGGTCAGAAGACAGGCCAGTGGGCTAGATTGACCTTTAGCCTGGCACTTTATGGCCACTCTTATGAGCTGCAACTCTGACAAGGCATATTGTGAAAGGTAGAACCAGAGAGCTAGGCATAGAGAGGAAGAAGTCAAAGCCTTTGCTATTCTACAACTGTAAAGTACCAACCAGGGAAGTAGTTGCACAAAACCAAAACACTTAGCCATCACTAAAAAACAATATTTGCTTTGTTTCCTTGACTATCTTCTGTGGAACACAGCTCTTTGTCTGCCCACAGCAAGAGCGTGCAAGGACAGCTCAAAGGAACAAGGCTGGTGTAGTCTCCAATTTTTCAAAATAAATTCCCTTTATTGCAAAGGTTCTTAGCTTAGATTTAATATTACTCACCCTTCATGTATAAAGAGTACAAAACATTGAGTGATGTAATACCCTTGATAACCACCGGATGGAGTATGTGCAGTGCTGTAAAGATGCATTCAGCAGAAGTGTCCTTGAAGCCTGGGTGCATTTTCAGTCACTGAGGTCTCCAGGAGGGAAACGATTCTCTCATTCACTCCGCATACAACGCCCACCAAGCCCACCAGACCATTAAACACAATCTTTACGGTTTAAACCCCACAGCAATCATGGGCTGGTTACAAAAAGCAACAAGGATGGAGAAGCAAAAGCGGAAGGAGCCAGATGTAAGGAACAGAAAGTTAAGATTAAAACGGTGACTCCACAAAAAAAAATGTCAGAGTAAACTCTACATTGAGGATGATATGAGCTCATCCCCTGAAGAGTTCTAAGACCAGCAAAAATCTGTTTAGAAAAATGGGCAAGAGATTTATGACCTGGATAGGTCATTTACGCTTAAGCCACCACCGTATCTTACGAACAGAACTTGAGGTTGAGTTTTTAGTAAGGATAAATAATGGGACCAACTGCAGTGAAAAAACCCAACTGCTGAGCTCTGGGTAAATTCAGATACAGATGGAAGAAATGAGGTGGCCTAAATGGAATTACAGAGGAGTCTAGACATGAGATT